CAACATCTGCTCTCACTTCCCTAGGGCAGGCACACCATGGTTAGGCTGTGCTTCTCCCTAAATAGATTGGATCAGCTCTAGAGAGTGCCAGTGCCACCTTCTACCTGAAGGAGGGGAAGAGATGGGAAAGGGCAGAGGAGGGGAGGGGAGAGAAACCCCCAGTTACCCTACATCTTCTGCACAAGAATCAGGGCACCTCAACTCCATCACTGATGAGAGGAGGGAAGAGGATGTTTTGCAGGACTTCAGCTTTCCATTCTGGGTATGGTAAAATTTGCAATAGCTCATTCAGACCTGTAGGATCAGTGTAACTGAGGGCACATCTGTGCTCAAGTTACAAAGATCCTATAGATCTGGATGAGAGACTTCAAATTTCACCATACCCAGATTGGATGTCTAAGAGCACTTCAGTTTACTGTGTCCACAAGAAATGCATATGCACCCTGCACCTTGTTTTAAGGTACTTCTGTTTGATGCTGTTGTTTCTCAAACCTACTCCACACTGATTGGGGTCCTTAAAAGGTAAAGGTACCCCTGCCCATACGGGCCAGTCTTGACAGACTCTAGGGTTGTGCGCCCATCTCACTCAAGAGGCCGGGGGCCAGCGCTGTCCGGAGACACTTCCGGGTCACGTGGCCAGCGTGACATCGCTGCTCTGGCGAGCCAGAGCCGCACACGGAAACGCCGTTTACCTTCCCGCTAGTAAGCGGTCCCTATTTATCTACTTGCACCCGAGGGTGCTTTCGAACTGCTAGGTTGGCAGGTGCTGGGACCAAACAACGGGAGCGCACCCTGCCGCGGGGATTCGATTGGGGTCCTTAAGCTGTCCCTAATTTGTTTCCAGCCAAGGTGTGAGCACCTTTTAATGTGAACACACCCTTACAGCACAAGTTTAACCAGGTTTACTCAGAAGGAAGTCCCAATGATTTGAATGGGATTCACCTGCAGGTGTGTACGCTCTGAATGGTGGCTTTCCTTCTCTTGGATATAAGACCACATCACACGGTAAAGCATGTGCATCATTAAAGCTGTGGAAAGCAAGTTTTCAGAAGCCTCAGCACAATATTCCAACCACTAGGAAGTTACATTGTTGACCTAAATTAACTCCCCACCACACAAAATTAAGCTGCTCCTATTGGATTTCTGCCTGTTCTATAGCTCTTAAAGACACACCACTCTGTCAGGCTCAGGGCAGTGACTAAAAGCACATGTAGAAGAAGCCTTGTCTGGATGCAGGAACCAGTGTCTGCCACCTTGAATATCTATTTTAGGTCCAACAGAATCCTAACAAAGGGAGAGTGGAATGGAGGACTTTAGCAGTATAATTCCCCAAACTCAAAATCGAAGTGTTTCATGCCTTCATTGAATTAACAAGGTTTCAAACCTGTTTAGGATCCATGGGTTGCACTGAGACATGTAGGATTGTGGGACTACAGGCAGGAACTGGGATCTCCTTTCAGGTAGGCCCATCCTTCTCCTGTCAGCCCAAAGTACAGCATTGCATAGGACAGGACAGACATACCAGTGCAGGGTGTAGGACTAGACTCCACAATTAGAACTAGAGTGACAGATCAAAGGGTGGGTGCAGTCATCAAGAAAGTGAGCTCCAGGTGTGTCCAAGAGCTTCCTACCCTCTGGTGTTCTATCATTAATCTCAGTGTAGTTCAAAGGCTATATGGTAACACCATCCAGTGTTGTTGATCTGCCACTATTCAGCAATCTCATATTGCAGAGATAGTAATCTCTGAGTATTGCAGAGATAGTTGAGCAGGTTAGCTGCTAATTGAGCCTTTGATTCCAGGAACTGTTCTTGTTCCCATTTCACAGGATGTCAAACAATGACAAGACTGAAACTAGCTCATGAGGGAGAAACCATTGAGACCAGCACCAATGTAACCCAAGGTCTTAATTGAACACTTCTATCCCGCTCTTCACTGCAGCACTGCCAAGGCTGGAGAACAGTAAACAGTGCCTTTGACTTTACATACGGGATCCACCATCACACCCTGATAAACCAGGGGTGGCTAACCTGTGACCCTCCAGGCATTGCTGGACTCTAACCCCATCAGCATGGCCAAAGGTCAGGCGTAATGGGAGTTGTAGTCCAGCAACACCTGGAAGGCCACAGGTTCTCCAGGTGTATACAATGCCCCTGCCCCTGCGTAGATGCACTACTGAGAAGTTAAATTATTACTATTGGTGCACATGATTCTACTCTGCACAATTTAATCCTCACAACATCCCTTTGAGTTAGATTAGGCTAAGAGAGAGCGATTTGCCTTAAGCTGCCCAGTGAGCTTTATGACTGAGTGGAGGTTTAAACTCTGGCCTCCCAGTTGCATTTAGCTGCATTTTGACATAGGCAATGAACTGAGAATTATTTCCAACTGGTAAAATACACCGAGGCCGTTGAGGCAGAATCACAAGTAACGTAAGGAAGAAAATCCCAAACTAAGACCCTGATGTTGGGAAAGATTGAGGGCACAAGGAGACAACAGAGGACAAGATGGCTGGACAGTGTTCTCAAAGCTACCAGCATGAGTTTGACCAAACTGCGGGAGGCAGTGGAAGACAGGAGTGCCTGGCGTGCTCTGGTTCATGGGGTCACGAAGAGTTGGACACGACTGAACGACTAAACAACAAACTCTCAGGTTCTTGTGAGAAACTTTCTACCTCTATTGTTTAGCCAGCACCTGAAAGAGGAAACAGTCTGACTCTGCAAGCAAAGGAAACTTTGTACCGTACTGGAACCCTGCCCTGGCGTTTGTGGCAGGGCGTTTACATGAATGGAATACGTCAACCTGATAGGGGGTCATAAATTACAAGTGACCTCTCCTAATCTCTGGATTGCAATCTAGGTCTCCAAATGCAGCGGTGAAAAACAAGAAGTGGGAGCAGAACTAATATATGTCCAGCTTCCATGTAAAGAGACCCACTTGGTTCCTTCCAAAACACTTTTGTGGGTGTGGCAGAGGAGAGTCTAGTAATTAAATGCAGCATAATTGTCACTGGTGCCATCAAGGAAACTGGAAGGATTTCAAGACTATAATTCTACTGAAGAGAGGTGACATCTCCCCATCTCCAGCAGAGGCCTTCTGTTAGCTACTCGACTAGCAGGCATTACAGCAGCGCAAGCATCTTCAGTTTAGTGGTACTGTGGGTGGTGAAAACTGCATCAGATGAATTTTTGCCTGTCACACAGCTGTTATAGGTGCAGCACCTTTCTCAGGATGACTCAGGAAATGCAGTGTGTGAACCCTGCTGTTGAAAGATGCTTGCTCCATCTCTCTTCTAACTCAGTGTGAGGAAATGGATAGTTATCAGTAGAGCATGGAAAGCTCAAGTTCAAATCCATATCCTGCTCAGCCATCAAGCTCACTGGAGCCAATTATTTAAGTGAGACAATTGTCCGCAGAACCAGGGTTGCTTCCCTGTGTGGTGCAGTGGTTAGTGTGTTGGACGAGGACCTGGGAGGCCAGAGTTCAAATCCCCACTCAGCCATGAAGCTCACTGTGTAACCATAGGCCAGTCACTATCTCTCAGCCTAACCTACCCCACAGGGTTGTTGCGAGGTAAAACGGGGAAGAGGAGAACCACACCACACACCTTGAGATCCTTGGCTGGAATATAAATGTAAAATAAACAACATAAAAGCTGCAAAGTAGTAGTCCAAACTAGGTTGGTAAGGTTAGCATAATGTTACCATAGTGGCTCCAGGAAGAATGATTGTTTTGCAGACAGCAGCAGGAGGCAAATAACTAGTAGGAATTACTTGCATAGTAAACAGCTGGAGAAACCGAGAGCAGTTTAAGTGCAAGGTGTGGGGGATATTTGACTGAATCTCATGTCTGATTAAATCTATGGGGCAAGGCAAATTGCTGGAGAGGATAATTCTTCTGCTATCTCACTTAGTCATTCTCAGTTGTGACTAACCTTTGTCTGGCCTGCGTATCTTGAGTGTGACCCAGACTAAACCTTTGAGAAGGTCCACACCACCTTCCCAGAGAGGAAGCTGTCTTGGTAACACAGCCCTATTATTATCATAAAAACTATTGGCGACAGTTTTTCCTTCTGTCTACGATAGTTAGCATATAAACCTACCACACTGGCTGACTAAGCCTGCAACCACCCCAACAAGGGCATATTCCTGGTTGAAGCATCTGAATCAACAACACAGCTGGGCTAACTCCTCCACTGCACTTTTTTGCACGGTGCCATTTTATCACACGGTTTGATTAATGCAGCTGCACCCCCAAGAGTTAGAAGAGTTCGCACAACAAACGGGAGAGAGGGTTAGGAGTGGCGAGCTTTGAGCTGGGAGGCCCTGAAGTTCCCATCTCACCTCACCCTTGAACTCCCCAGGGGTGGCCTCCACCAAGCAACTGTTTTCTCAGCCTAATGAGAATAGCAACGCTGACTTACCTCGCCAGAACATTGCAACAATTTCCTAGATAATGGGTGGCATCCAACTAATTTTTACTCACAGCAGACCTACTGTGAGCCTGAGTCATGTGCATTCATTTCTGTGGGTCTACTCTGAGTCAAACATAGTTCAATACCGACCCTTCACAATTCCCACGCAATCGACCCAAAGGTTTCTCTCTACCACCTGACGCCCCTCTGCAGCGAACAACCTGCGCCCAGTTTAATTTCTCCCCTCGCCTACCTTTCAGCTCCGCGTAGTCCAGCATTGCTCCGTTGGTCCTGGGGGTCGAGTGGCTCTTCTGCAGCATCCTCATGCGGACCTGCTCCTGCACCCGGGCGCTCTTGAACCCCTCGGCGGCGTCGGGGGCCTCGCTCTTCCTGTCCAGCTGCTTGTCCGAGGGCAGCGCCAAGGAGCACACGCCATCCTCCGGCTGCAGAGCCGACAAGAAGAAGTTATTCTCCTGCATGCTGGCTGCTGGGCCAGGCGCGCACGTGAAAAACAGCCCGGCTCTTCCTCCGGGTCAACCCGCCCCTTCCCCGCGCCTGCCAGGAACTCTGTGTGGGCTGAGGGGAAGTTCCTCGCGAGGCCTTGGAGCAGCCCTTCCGCTCCTCCTGCGCCCTCTTCTCTGCGCCCAAATGGCGCGTTGACGCGCCAGGTAAGTTGCGCGCTTATTCACAGGTGAGTCCGTCGGGCCCTCCCTCTGACTTCCTTAGTTAGTCTACCAAAACAAAAAAAAGTTTCTTCATTCAGGGAGCGCGCCCGCGCGCCCACGCACGCACACACACATACACCCTCCTCCACGCCATCCCCGGTCTTCTTGCAAGCGTCGTTTGGTTTCCTGGGACTTTCCTTTCCTTCTCTGCGCTGGTGGTGACACACCTACGTGATTCCACCCCTCTCTCTCCCTAGCAACTGAGATCAGCCGGGAGGCAGAGCAGCAGGTCGGCCGCTTCCACCTTAAGCAGGTGAGGCGTTGGGCAAAGCGGTGCCTTTAAGGTGGAATTCCAAAGATGCACGAACTGGCCTGGCCTTGGCCCTGCCCTGCCCCACACCTCTCCCTCAGCTGTGTAAACTGGCAAAAGCGGTTATGGGTGCGGTGCCTCCAGGGTTCTTGAAGGGTGTGCGTTTGTGTGCCTAGAGATAGAGGACTGTAGGCCGTGGTGCCATCCTCCTACCCTCTCTTTTTGTTACACCTTCTCCATTCCGCGAAACAAAGCTCCCCCGGTTCTGGCAGAGCCCCGTGTCAACAAAAGTGCAGCAAAACAAGGAACGAACACGCCTCGGCCGAACCCAGCTTTGTTCCCTCCCAGCTTGTGAAGTAACTTAACAGCCTGTACATTCCAAATACTTGGGAGCTGAGCGGGAGAAGGGATAGAGGCAGGCCAAAGTCCAGGAGTTCAATCCAGGCTCCTCCTCCTGCTCACCCAGAGTCCCAGGAGGCACATCTAGAACATGCAGAGTGTGAGGCTCAGCTACACAGGCACATTCTGTGCCATGGCTGCAGCCAGGGAGAGACAGTGGGTGAGCAAGTCATGCCAGCTGTGGCCTTTCCTCCCCCGTCATTTTCTTCACCAGAGTATATAGGCCTTATACAGAGTCAGACCACTGGTCCATCTAGCTCAGTATTGTCTACACTGACTGGCAGCAGCTCTCCAGGGTTTGGGGCAAGTCTTACCAGTCCTACCTGGAGATCAAAACTAGGACCTTCTTTGTATAAGGCAGATGCTGTACCACTGAGCTTCGACCCTTCCCCAAGTATCTCCTGGATGTTACAAGCAACAGACATTGCTGATTGGCTGGAAGGAATGTGGGAGGGGTTCCCCATTCACCACTCAGGGTCATAGATCACTGCTGAATCATACAGTTCCAGGGCTGCTCGCCCTACTATTAGCCAGGGTGTGGCACCTGCTTCAGGCAGCTAATTTAAGGTGTCGTCAAATGGCAGCAAATAGCCAGTTCCTTAAATTATTACTATTATAATATTTTTACTCTCAGGGAGAGGCATTTGGTGATTTTATGTCTCAGGTGCAAAAACAATGTAGTTAGTCTTGGACGCTGTGTGCCTTTGCGAGGAGACACCATTTGCTGCAAAATACATTTGGACTAGCCTTGTAGACTGCAATACTAATGAAGGGGGAAGAGCCATTTCCTTGCTTCTTAGGAGGGTATACAGCACTTGCTCAGTGTTGGAAGACTCTGGGGCGAAGCAAGTGTAGAGAGAAACAACACCATTGCGGCAGAAATGGTCTTCTACGATGGGCAGAATCCTAAAACTGCACACACACTGCTGTCATCACCATTCCACTGTGGCCTTGCCATCTGCCAAATCCCAGCATGTCCTTCATACAGATCCATGTACCCTTCCACAACCACCCCATAATGGGTTCTTGATTCCTGTTCTTCCCACCATTAGGTTGCTACTTCTTGCCCTACAACTCCAAGCTCACTAGACTCTTTCCTTATCCCTCTACTACTGTTGGTGAGATTCTTTTTCTGTTACTGGACCTGTTCGCCCTGTCTACCACCTGTATAGCATTATGTCTGTTCCTTTCTACTTTAACGGGATAGCAAGTGAAATAGATGCAGACTGTGACTGTGCTCACAAGGGAAAGTCTTATCCATTCCTCAAAACTGTTGAAGCCTTAAGAAAAAAGATGCCCAACTCTTTAAAAAAGAATGCTCTATAGACCTTAGCAGTACACAGAATATACCATGTGAGAGCAAATGGGCTTAAGTATAGCCCATACTTTTACTCTCTGTATATGCCAATCAATCAAGGTAATTGGTCATTGCTAGCATCAGCACTTCCATAGGCTTGGTAGACTTGAAAAAGACTTTCGGCTTATTATTACAGCCTTTTAATGGGCTAGATCAGGAGGGCCAAGTTTGCCTATGCTTGGGCTAGATGCACCAGGAACTAAAGAGACTGCCTTTATTTTGCATATGAAGGACATCAAGTGCAGTGAGACATTCGGACATGAGGATGGCCCAAATGCTAACAATACTATCTGACTACCAGTTAATAGAAACAAACCATTCACTCTCCTCTTGCACAGTCTTCAGCTGGCTTATTTATCTCTCAGGGAAGCAGCATATTCCTCTTGTAAGTACGCCTGCCTTGAGGCTTGCAGGGGACAATAATCAAGACACACAGCGTTCCATATGATGGTTTTCCCTTGGGTGGTCTCTCACCAAATAATAATTAACTAGCGTTTGTGAAGCTCTGTCAGATGTCCAGATGAAAGACTCTCTGGACGTGTGTAGCGTTAATCATTGTAATAGCCCAGCCCAGCCCAGCTTAGCTTTTAAAATTCTGCACAGCCCAGCATAGGCGATGCTGAGTTTCCAGCTAATAAATGCTCTGTGACTAAAGTATGAATAATCCTCTGAGTTAAAAAAGCACTCCCAAATTAAGGAGACCTCATTAAGAAGAAGTGTCCCTCTGTTAACTAGTGGGAAACTGAGGCACGCAATGTGGAGCAATTCATCAGTCGGAAGCGGAGCAAGGATTAGTACTCAGCAGTTCCCAGGACTGTGCTAAAGGCTAATTGGGCATTTCCCTTCTTATGCACTTTCATGAGAACATTAATTGCCACTGATATCCCCATTGATGTTCAGCAGCAACAATGCCCCAGGTAGAGGAATCTGGGGGAGGGGCAGGAGTGTGTGTTTTTATTATTTCTTATGATGTTTGGCCAAGAAGATTATTCATGCTAGAAGTTCAAAATTCCTGGCAGTTGTCAGATTTTTGGGGAACTAGTGATACAATGCTTTTTAACAGCCTGAGGGCTAACAGTGCACCTACCTCACTGACCTGGAGTAAAGGAATCCTATGAAGTAATTTGCTTTTGACCAGTCACAAAAAATTGACATGGGGAGAAGTTGTTTCTCATAGAAGGTCATCCTATGGGGACCACTGCATGAGCATTCCTGAGTGGGCAACCTGTGGCCCTCCAAATACTGCTGAACTACAATTCCCATCATCCCTGACCACTGACTGAGACTGATGGGAGTTGGACTCCAGTAACATTTGAAGGGCCACAGGTTGCTTACCCTTGCATATATCAAGCATTAATCTCAGAGTATAAATTTCATCTGTGACTCATGTCAGGCTGTTTCCAAACAAAACCCAATTGTGGTGTCATCATGTCCTGATCAGAGTACCTTACAAATCCAAGCTACACACAGATTGTGCTGATCCTTGTGATGGTTTCCCCCTGATCAATTGGTGGACCAGGGCCTCACTGGATCAGTGGAGGCATCACAGTCCAACCTGTATTGGGCCACCTTTGTCCACACTTGTGACTAAACACTGTAGTACTGAACAAGCCACCAGGGAAGGTGCTTTGAGGACATTTCCCCAACACCTTCTGTTTCCTTTAGAGGTGATGGGGAGACAGAGCAGAACGGGCCCAACCTGAAGCAGTGAATTTTAGTAAAGTGGCAGAAAATCCTTTCCCCTTCTGCCATCCATATTGTGGCCTTTGCTCTTTTCTTTCTCTGATGAAATCTCCAATATAGCATCAGGAAGCAGGAGGTGTGTGGAGTGTGTGGGTCAAGGGTGGGTCATCTGGATAGAGATGGGCCTGGAATTATCCTTCCCATGTCAGCTGGCTACAAGACTAAAGATACTTCTGGATGTGATTTTGGGCACAAAGGAAATACAAGGATGGCATTGTCTCTCTATCTATCATCTATCTATCTATCATCTATCTATCTATCTATCTATCTATCTATCTATCTATCTATCTATCATCTATCTATCTACCATCTATCTATCTCTCCCCACTTCCCATTGTGTAAATACTTCAGTATTAACTTTCCTTTATGTACTGATGCTCTTGACATTAGAAAATGTGAGTCTGCCAGCCTTTAAATGAAGTACTGTATAAAACCAGACAGCCTTCCTCAACTTGGTGCCTTCTCCATATATTACTGGACTACAACTCCCATCTACCCCAGTCAGGGATAATGGGCGCTGTAGTCCAACACTTCTGAAGGGCACCAAGCTGGGGAAGATTGAAACAAAGAATCTTGTGGCAGTTTAAAGACTAACACTATGGCATAAGCTTTCAAGGAGTTAGTCTACTTTACCAGACGCATGAATTAAGACAATGTCTGTGCAAGGCCATTTTGTGTGATCTATCATTGAAAATAACATGAGGAGGTGCTGTTGTTTTTCTGTAACCTATTGCTGCCATTCTTCTTCCTGGTTGTAATGCCAAACCAGAATTCCTGGAAAATGTAACTCAGCCGAACTAATTAGAGTCTGTACTAATTAGTGTGAGGGCATAGTAGTATAGGCACTAATTTGGTTTGTGCCACTGGCACTGATCCTGCTAGTCCATTTGGGTTAGCAACAATCAGCACAGGGATCACCATCAGTCCTGGAATCATTGCACCTGAAACTCATAAAACTCTTGATCTGAGAGTGCCCTTAGTAGGTGAAAGACACCTTTCCCACAATTAATCTGCACAAGTGCTTCACAATGTGCATCTTCCTAGTTATTGCTCCACCCCACCCCTCACTCATATACTGATTTGGTCTAGCCCGTCTATCTACCTCACTAATTTCTTCTGGAAAATGTAATTTCTGACTTTGTGTGCTACCATGGCTGTTGAATAGTCTCGTCACAAGTTCTCTCCCCCCTCCCAATTTTTTATATTTTGCACAGCAAAGCAAAAATCTGTTTTCTCGGAAGCTTCACATGTTGTATTGCACAACACAGCATTATTTTAGAAAATCCTGCAATCTCAAGAGAATATACCACACACACACACACACACTGAAAATGTTTGAAAACTACACCTGCAGTGATGCCAGGTGTGAGTTCAACTTACTGAACTCACAGTACACACAGAACCCCCTTGCCAGCACTGATGCAGCTGATTGACAATACTGGTTCACTGAAAACCAGAGCTGCCTTGGGGTGAGACATGGGAGACCAGATGAAAGGAGGACAGGGCTCCTGTTCCTTGGGCAGTTTTGCAGGGGAATGAATTCTGATAGGTTTTGATTTTGATTAATTTTCACCTATGACTGAAAGCTTGCCAAAATTCCCTCTCCTGTTCAACCATAAAGGGAGAGGAGTCTGCCTCACCTGTTGTCCTTTGCATTCAGTCACCCAAAGTAAAACTGTCATGAGAACTGGCCCTTTCACAGAGAAGGTGCTCCATCCCTACCCTAATAATCCCTTACCTGACTTTGGTATCAGACACAGAGACTGCTTGACCGTTAGCCCCATGCACAAGGGAGGCTACCGATACTTTACATATCTCTACAATAGGAGAAGATGGCAAAGTTCTCATATAATTGGAAACTGTTCCCACAGTTTGAGCTGTGACTTTAAAGAGTCCGGCATGGGCAGCGCACACAGGCATTCTCAGATAATTAATTGCACTATGCTACTTTCTGCCTGCAAGAAACCATTTCCACTTTGACTTTTCTGCCAAAAACATTTTCTGCACATCTGCTATGGAATCTTGCGTGTTCCGGAGCAGAAATCCAGAGCATCAGGCCTAGCGGCCAAATGTCGCCCTCCAGCCCATCTCACCCTTCAGCCACCCCCACTCTCCAGCCATATCCCTTCTCCCTAGGTCACAGCTCTCACCAGCCTTGCTTAATACCCTCCTTGAGTGTTTCTGCCTGGCTGGAATGTCTCCTTGATCTCTGAGCACTTTCAGGCTGTCATTAATTTCAGGCAGCATTCAATCACGTTTCAACAAATTCAGGTTGCACAATTAAAGTGAATTAGAGCTCCTGCACAACAAACTTACCTTCCCCCCACAACAAAACCCAGACATTTTGCAATAAGGAAAGCTGACCTCCCTGCATACTTAATTAGGATGAATGTTCAATACACAGGTCATCTGAATGTGACTTGTGATAATTGCTGTTGGATGGAGGAGTGTGTGTGTGTGTGTGTGTGTGTGTGTGCGTGTGGAAGCTAGCCTACTGTAGAAATTGCATCTCTGCTGCCCAGTATGTTGATGATGGATTTGCACAAGCTGCTGTCATGAAGAATTCCATATTTTTATATACGTGGGGCTCCCCAAAATGCACTCAGGGTTGATTTCTGCTTTTCAGTGGGATAGCCCAGAAATGACCTCTTTCAATATGTCCATGCACAGATAGCATCAAACATACCATACAACGCTGACATCTGTGTAGCAAAGGTACATGCAAAATAAATCAACCTGTATCTTGCTTTTAGCTGATGAAAGAGAACTGCAGGGCAGCCCTGGACAACTGGTTAAACTGGAGACATTGAGACAAGCAGCCAGACCCTCCACATAAAAGTGCCCATGCCACCATAAGTCAATGGCAACTTCTTGAAACCCACCTGCCAGCCTTTCCAGCTGCTGTGGTTTAAGTTCCCTCTCGACTCAAATTTCTCTCCCACAGTCAGTCACAAAAGCATTGAAATCTACCCTTGCAGAGCAATCAATAAACTTTTGTCCCCACCTAAGGACCAAATCAGCCTTGTCATGAAAGGGAAAGAGAAGGAGGGAAAGCGTGAGAGCTGCTTCCAATGAAAAGCTGTGAGCCGTCAGCAACAGAGAAAGCTTAATGCATAAGTGCCAAAAAAATAAAAATAACAATTACCAGGAGGTAACTGAAGCTGCAGGTGGAAGACGTTTCGAACAAATATTATGCATGTTGAGGACTGGTTGTGAAATGTTTTTATAGCACTTACAACATATAAAGTAAGTTTTAGCTAGATCATGTTCACAAGGAATCAGGAAAGTAGGTAATGAATGAGATGCTTCGACTGTGTACACATTACTGGCTTAAAATGCATCTAGGTATAAAAGATCATTTCCTAAAAACCCAGAAGCTTTTCAAAAAACAAGTGAGTCTGTTGATGTATGCGACCACGGCTACGCGGATTTTACTTGCACAAAAGTGGAGAACAGACGTAGTTCCAACAAAAGAGGAGTGGCATCATAAACTGCTGGAATACGTGGAACTAGTGGGTATGACTAATAGAATAAGAAACAGAGATGAAAAAGAACTTGAAGAGGATTGGATGCTATATATAGAATATATGAAAAAATATTATAATAAGACAACCTAGCAGGATGAGCATAATTCAGCAGCGTAAGTTATAACATGAGATAAAGAGAAGGAGAGAGGAAAATTTGGAAGAACAAAGAGATGAGATAGGTTGGGAACAGAGAGGAAACCAGGGAAGGAGTGGAAGGAGAGAACATAGATCAGGGACAGAGAACCTTTGACTGTGAAGAAACTGTTCAACTCAACTCAACTCTCATCACCATGCTGACCAGGGCTGATGAGAGTCCAGCAGGATCTGGAAGGTCACAACTCCCATCAGCCCTGGCCAAAATGGTCAATGGTCAGGGATGATAGGTGTTGTAGTCCAGCAACATCTGCAGCTGGGGCTATAACATCAAAAAGATGTGTATAGCTCCATGTAGTGCCAATGCATGTCCTTTTAAATAAAGATTCACATCATAATGATGGAGTGAGCTGTAAGGGCAGTCTACAGGGTCTGCACAATTATTTGCTACCTACAAAACCAGTAGCCACATACTACCACTCACCCCCTACCTCAGTAATGCTGATTTTGAGGTGATGGGCCCATTCTCTGTGGCATACTAAGAGCTCTAACACTTGCTGGAAGACCAGTGCAACTCCAAAGGTTCTTCCTCGCTCATTAAGTGCAGGATGATGTAATAACTGAAGCAGGCGTGAGCCAACTGCTTTACTGCCCGAGGTATGATGTCTGTAGGATCAAGCTGCCTGGCAAGTTAATGTAGCCCTATCTCATCAACTATCTGATATGCAGCTGTAATAAGCAAGTCCTAATCTCTCAATCACGTGTGTAAATTAAAGGAATGGTGTCGACCCACCTCTGCAAACTGCTTTGAGACCTGCAGATGAAAGTTGCCAGATACAGGGAGAGAGTTATTAGTTTTGTTATTTCTCCCTATCTTGCTCTGTGCACTTTACTCCACCTCAGCTTCTAGCCTAACTCTGCTGTCTATTCCATTCATCCATCACTCTGATTATCACTGCTTCATTTCCTCATAAACAATGTACGCTGACTATCCAGCCACTTCAAATCCTTCCAGAGAAGAATTTTAATCAAACCTTCCTTACACATTGATTTCTTCTGTCATAAGCTCTTTGGAGCATGAATCTTAACGACCTTGCACAGTTAATCAAGTGCATACTGTGCTATCGACATCTACCCAATATGCCATTAAGAAGATGCTTTTGACTGAATATATCCTCCTGACTGGCTTAAGGCACGGATATGACAAAGGTGTACTGTTCTGAGATCCATGCTTCCCAGGGTTATATGATGGGGTCAAGCTCCAGGCAGTGGCGTAGCGTGGGTTGTCAGCACCCAGGGCAAGGCAAGTAATTTGCGCCCCCTAACCCGTGGATTTGCGCCCCCTAACCTATGGATTTGCGCCCCCTAACCCTAACCCCCAGATGTTGCGCCCGGTGCGGCCGGCCCCCCCTGCACCCCCCACGCTACGCCACTGGCTGCAGGGACAGTGATAACTAGCAAAAACCCCCAAAACAAATGTAACTTGATTCAGTGATGATTGCCTGAGTTTTATAGGTAGCCTCCTGGAGGTGGAGGAACTGCAGCTACTGAGTTGTTTCCAGGGCTTCCACCCATCAGGAAGTGAATGTAGATCTCTGTACTGAGCCCCAGGAGCACAGCATCTCCCCTTATTTCATGAATCACCTCTCATGCCCAGAGGAATCAGGGGCGGAAAATGAGTTCTGCAAGCCCAAATAGTATTTTAATTCCATCCCGGTTGCCAGGTGAATGCAATATTGCTTATAATAAGCGGATCTCCTTTATGTTTCGTTCCAGAATATAGCAGCTTTGCACATAATGCTTTCTTCACATTTCAGGAACTACTGCTTGTCCTTCCCGCCCCCGGATTTATTTATGTGATCATCAGGCATCATCACAAGTAAGTTGTCCCTAGCAGCAAATCTTTTGCACTTACTCCTGTATTTAAACTTGTGGGGGAAAATATAGACAACAACTTTATAAAACACTAGAACATGTCATGTAATCATATGCTCTTTACTTTGAAAAGTTCCTTCCATTTCTTAATTTCGCCTGAACAGATGGTTTAGTAGATACTTGAAATGATATAGGCCTACTTCCAACATTACTTTTAAAAGACACAGAAGATTTTTTACTCTTACCACATAAGATACAACCTATCATTTTGTAGGGAAATATATATTGTGCATCCGTTTCCCAGAAAATTTGAACGTGGAACAAAACTCCAGCATCTCATCAGTTTACAAATGACTTTGTCAGAGAGTAGATGTATGAGTAACCTTATGGGGCGTTTACCTGGATCTTCAGGTATACTCAAGTCTTAAGGAACTAATCCCAAAAGAAGCACTCATTTTTACTGCTTACATCAGTTGTTCTCAAATGGTGTGGCATGCTGGGAAGATTCAAGAACAATGAAAGAAACATTTAAATATTTCAATGTAGTACAGTTGAGTAGTGTAGCATAGAGTATCAATATAATATTTTAATGGATAGATATGTATATGGAACAGGGATTTTCAACTCTGGCAAATGTGAAAGACCAGAAAAGAGAAAGGCTTTTTGGTGTTGATGAGGATATGAGGGTTTGTCTGTCTCAAATTAGACCTAATATAAATGAGATTACCTGGCAAAAGTAAGCTCATACCTTTCACTGAGTTTGTATACATACTACATTTATAAGAGGCTCATTTATATTTTGGGAATGATTCATGTACTTATGTAGCTACATTGTTTTATTCTTTTCGAATGTCTCATGATCATATTATAAAGTAGTTGTGTTTCTGTGTAATAAATCAAGCACTATAATGAGTTGTCCCCCCCCCATGTATTTCTTATCAATAACAACTTCAGTATGGTGCAAGCAAATTTTTATTCTGAAAGTTTGGCCCAGAGAGAAAAGTTTGAGAACCACTGGGTTAGATGGTAGCAAATAAAACTGTCTTAACTGACCAGCAATAGTTGTTGTCATAGGTTACAAAACAAATGAAATAAGTACTGTAAAGCATTTATTTATTTATTTATTTTCTCCATTGCTATCATGGAGCCACTCAGAAATTTTGATAATGAGGGAATAAAGGAGGCAGGAAGGATAACCCTATGATAAAATGCCTTCCTCTGCAGGATAGAAAACCTCACACAGGAACTCATATGACTCTGTTCAAATTGTCCAGAGCTCCTTGTCTTTTAATTTTTACATAATTGTTTCCCAGTGCAGTTGACAGCCCTTTCCCCCATACATATATGTTTACTCCACAAAAATCCTCGGACAAAAATGTGCTTTTATTCTTCAGATTAATCCCTAAATAAATGCCAACAACTGCACGCATCCTTGAGCAGGTGGTTAATCCTCAAGGAAAATAATTGACAAGGCTGCCTCTGGGATATCCCAGAGCTTCTCTACTGAAACACTTCTTGAAATGCTTAACTGAGAGCCACCATTCTGGTTTGCTTCTTTTTTGAGGTCTACCATATTTTCTCACACGAGGGCAGCCATTTTGAAGTCATTGCATAACTCACAAATTAAAAGTCATCTTCTTCTGGCAGGTAGAAATATTGTTATGAGTTTTGAGGGGAGGAAGTAGGCTGTATGTAAGATTCTTCTAGTGTTAAAATATGAGTCAGGCTAGCTTTCTGTGTTGAGGTGACAGCCTGGGTGATGGGCCATTAAGGGAAACAAATGAAAGGGGCTCTGTGTGAGACGGCACATGGGTGGTGCCCTCAACTCAGAGATAGTTAGGACAAAGCCAGAAGGGTCAGCAGTAGGTAGGGCCAAGCCCATCACTCATTCTCCATACCTAGGCAAGTCACACAAGCTCTTGTGTGTGAGAGAAGAATTAAAGGAATCTGCCTTTTTTCAGGGAGAGATGGTGGAATAAAGCAGTAGTGAGGCAGTAAGGAAAGGAGGAGTTCTGTGTTCTGAACATCTTTTCTAGTTCTCACTTTGTTTGACAGACTCACTCCTTCACACACAGTTCCGTGCTTCAGGTGAACAAAACAAAATAGCTTGTGCTGAGAGAAAAGCGACTGCCTGCCAAATAAAGGGTGAGTTTGCCAGTTTTAGTAGAAAGCAGGCAACACGTTTGTGTCTCTTATCCTGGCCTAGCTCTTACAAGGCCTACGATGGGGTGTGCGTGTAACTCTAGTCTCAGCCTCCCCCTCAGGAGAGGGTGGTGACGTGAGTTGGCCTGGTGGAGGAAAACCGTCACAGCACAAGTCAGCACTTGCCCGGTATTGCTTGCTGCTGCCGCTGCTGGAAACAGACATTACTATCCCAGCTACCTTGACTGTCTGGTAATCAACTGGATTCCTCCTCAGGTGAAAAAAGCAAGGGCCGAACCAGATGCATATGTTTTGAAATGCGCACTTGCTGGTTTGGCTATAGAGCAGGGAGGTATCTACTTTTATTACTAAATGCACCATGGGGGGGCAATGGGAGCAAAAACTGCCTCCTCCCCAGCTTTGCTGTTCTGCATTCACCTGCTGGAATATCACCCCCACCCTGCCCCAATAATACCCCAGTAATTTCCTTGGTATTGCAGCTGGGCTAGGGGTGGAATTAAAGCAACAAAGCACAGGGAAGGAAGGTAGAGGAGAGGGCGGTTTCCCTCCTGCTGTCAGCAAGCTCAGTTTAGTGATAAAGGCAGAGCAGCCACTTTCACTTTATAGCCAAATAGAAGAGCATGTGTTTAGCAAACACCCTGCATCTGAGCTTGGCTCTGATTCGGATCACTGGCTCCCCACAGCTCAGGGATCTCTTCCAGCACTACCTGCCCATGTTTTCCTTTGTAGGAAACACACAGTGTGTATGTCAAGTGCAATGAATCCCCAAACCATTCTCCTCCAGTGTGGCTTGGAGGCAGCAGCAGATTGACTAATAAAACAGGCAGGACTGAATTAAAATGCCAGCTCTGCCCTCCAATGTGAAATGCAGCCAACTTTGGCAATTTCTAAAGTATGCTACCTTTCCATGTGCAAGTTAGGTCTCGCATACAAAGCCTGTGGTTGACCACACCCAGCCACAGGCCTGGGAACCCCCCTCTAGCCATCCCAATATCTGTGTATACACTCCTAATTGCTCTGCGTTCAGTGTGCTCCCACTGCTGGTTTGGGTGTACATACAATGTTCTCCACAATCCATATCTGTCCTGTTGTTTCTTGGCCAATACAGTGGTGCCTCGCAAGACGAAATTAATTCGTTCTGCGAGTTTTTTCGTCTTGCGAATTTTTCGTCTTGCGAAGCACGGTTTCCCATAGGAAACCTCAAATAAGGCTACCACACCGCGTGCTATGAGTTGCTCCTTGAAGTCAAGTCGCAACTGCACCTCTTCAAGCAATGCACCCTGGGTATTAACGGTTTTAAGAAAAAGGAAACAAACTTGCAAGACGTTTTCGTCTTGCGAAGCAAGCCCATAGGGAAATTCGTCTTGCGAAGCAACTCAAAAAACCAAAAAACCTTTCGTCTTGCGAGTTTTTCGTCTTGCGAGGCATTCGTCTTGCGAGGTACCACTGTACTGTGTTCTGATGCATTGAGAAAAATAACAACTTAGATGCTTTTCTAGTTAATAATGTGTACACAGCCTAAGAAAACTCATAGCTGAAAAGCAGCAGGTGGCTGCCTAAGAAACACTGACCAGTATTCTTAGTGGTGTGAGTAGTATGATTCTCTTGCTACTACTGTTGGGCTTGTAGCCTCATCCAACCTCCATTAACCACATCCATTTAGAACTCTCCTTTCTGAGTTTTCTGTGCCTCACCTTTAACATTAATATAGAACTACTATATATTTTGGAAAATGGTTTGTCTGTTCTCTATGCACTTGAACACCTCTTAAGATATTGTAACCAAATTTTGCATGATGGTTCTTGAAATTAAGAAGCAGGTTTTTGTCTGTTTGGGGGGGAAATAGATGCCTTTCAAAATTGCAGTCAACCTTTCAACCACCGATTTCAAAACTTCACTGGGGTTTTCTTTTCTTAGATTTGAAACTGGGGTTTCATTTCTTAGATTTCTTGAGCAATGTTGGCCACTTGACACTAGTACTCTTCTGTGAAGAACTCCAGAAAGAAAATCCCATACTTTGCCCAGACTACAGAGAAAATTGTGCTCATTGTACCATTGACCAACTTTCCCCATAGCGGATGGGAGAGGTCAATGTGGTAATGATAGCAACTATTTCATTTACTTTATTGAGGAACACTTATAAACTAATTGCCGTGATAATAAATCTCAAAGCTGTGTGCAATATAAAACATAAAAATGTAATAAAACCATTATTATAAACCCTGTGTCACTAACACAACATCCAAACTTATGAGCTACAGGACCAAGTATTAAATTGTGCAGCAGCAGCACCAGCAGCAGTAGCACACTCAGAATGTGAGCGCAGAGGAAGATTCTCTCCACAGGAGATCTAAAAATGGGTATGCCATGCCCCCACAGAACTATGGTGTGCTTCCATCACCAAAGGGGATATGCACCTCCCTACTCTGCTGCTTTAATTCCATCTCTGATAGATTACATCAACATTTACAACACATTACAACACACATAAATAAAAGTTGAATGTTCAAAGTTTGTAGCTTATCACGGTACTTTCACTCTACCACTGAACCTTATGAATACATACAACACACCTGCCATACCCATGTACCTTTGGCAGTGCTTATTCCGCAACTAGGGCAGTTGACTCCCCTTTTCCTTGTCATTCCTATTTCTTTAATGCTGTGTCTGCAGTAGTTCCTCCTCTTTTTTTCCAGTACAGGAAAGATTCTGGCAGAAGCTGCTTCTGATTTAAATCTCCTCCCACTGTTAGCACCAGACCAGCTAGTTCTGCCTTGATCTCTACCAGCTTCTCAGCACCATCTATCCTCAGCCCCCTGATCTTCTTTCTCATACACACTATCCCTGGGTGACCTCATCATAGCCATTGTTTTTAGTACCACATGTACTCAGATGACACCCATCTCTGCCTCCCCTGTAATTCAGTCCCACATCTCCAGCTTCCTCTCCAATATCTCTGCTTGCCAACATCTTAAACTCATTATGTCCAAGACTGACCATCTCATCCTTCCAAGCCCTCTTTTCCACTCATGCTTTCCTTATCCATTGGCAATGTTATTACCCCACCTCCCATTGATCAGTCACATAGCTTTGACTTTATTATTGACTTCTCTCTCTCCCTTATTCCCCATATTGAGTCTGTGGTCAAGTCATGTCACTTCTCCCTTTATATCATTGTAAAAATGTAGCTCTTCCTCTTTGTCCTCTGAGCAAAGCTTCTGGTCCATGCCCTGATCATCTCTTGCTAGGCAGCTACAATCTTCTCCTCCTTGGTCTTCCATTGCTTCCCCTTAATCCCCTTGCATCTACCTGGCATTCTTCTGCCAAAATAATACACCTTTCTCATCATTCTGATCACATGAAATGCCTCCCTAAATCCCTCCTTTGACTTCCTGTCCTAGAAAAAAAAGCATAGCTCAGTGGTTGAGCATCTGTTTTGCATGGTTCCAGATTCAGTCCTGAAAATCTCCAGGTACAACTGGGAGGGACCCTGTCAGAAACCGTGGAGAGCTTCTGCCAGTCAGTGTGGATAATACTGGACTCCTTCATGAGGGAGGGTGGGGTATTATTAATAATAATAACAATAATCTTGATGGACCAATTATCTGACTTGGTATAAGGCAGCTTTCAATGCTATCAGTTCAGCACAAATTATTATTACCCTTACTTTTGAAACCCTCCATCCCCTATCTCTCACATATACCCCTGTCCATTTGGGATCTTCCCCCTCTGTCCTGAGTTTTGTGAAGTTCTGTTTCCTGAAAAGACTCCACCCTTTCTCTCTTGATGCCCCACATGCTTGAAATTACCTCCCAGAACTGCTGCAGGATGCCCCTTCTCTTGATTCCTTCAAATCCCTTTCTTTGGCACCTTTGGTTCCATGTCCCAGTTCCCATGCCCTGCTTATAGGTCAGCCTTTGCCTAGGTGCATGCAATTGCATACTGCTTCTATGTTGATCCAGCCTCTATGTTCCTCCCCTTCATGTGTTGTTTCCACTGTGACGAATATTAGATTGTAAGCTCTGCAGAACAGGGAGATGTCCTCTTCTCCTGTGTAAAGTGTGTGTACCTTAGTGGTGCAATATAAACAACAAAAGCGATAATTTCCAGATGGATAGTTGTGTTAGACTTGCAAAAACAACAAGGCTGTTGTAAAAATTACTGGGAAGAATTTAAATGTGCTATATAGAAATAAATGCTAATGATGTTAGCACATGCGACTTAAATTGCCTTTGAGCCTCTCTTGTGCTAGTTCTGTTAATGGCTGGTTATTGCTCATGAGAACAGAAGCTTTTGTGATTCAATTCAATTACAAACCTAACTAAGGCAAAAGCCGCTTTAAGCTTCATGTTTAAAATGCCCTGTTGGTGTATGCACTAAAATGGCCTCTTGTAAACAACAAATATTTCCATCAACTGCCCATGCATACTGCTTGCATGCTCAAAAATGTAAAATATCACATTATTTTGATATAGTGTATGTGGGGTAGATGCATTTCTGCAGTTCTGAGCAGGATCATTGACACAAAGCTAGAAGTAGCACATCATGGGGGTTTTGAGGGGCATTGAATGTACTGCTTAACAACATCATTTTATAAGGCAAGTGACAATCATTTTTATAAACTACAGAGAGGGAAACAGGAAGTGTGGCTGCTTCCTAAAGGACTTGGCACGTCAAAGCCAGTCATGAATCAAATGGCTACGTTTGTTGAGCCTTCATCCTGATTTGTTTGCAGGGGGATTAGATTACTTTGATTGTTGAATGAGCATTCATTGTATCAAAGCAAGTGTTATCTCACACATTTTACCGCATTGCCCCATCACTTTCCTCATCAGAAAAGTCCTCTTTTTTTTTTTTAAAGGAAGTGGGTTTCTTGCACAAAAGCTCCCAATAAGCTGTAATTGCACAACCTGAATTTGCTAGTATATGATTGAATTACACCCAAAAATAGTGACAAATTAGAAGTGCCCATGATAA